AATGGTGTAAGTTATAATGAAAAAGTTTTTCTCTTTTCTCCTATGCAAACAAATCCATAAATAATACAAAATAAGAAAAAAAAATGAAATAAAAAATAATATAATATATAAAGATGCTATGAAGATGCGATATAAATAAAACTACTAAAAAGAAAAGTGAAAAGTTGGAAGCTAGACATTTTTCTTCTCAGAAAGAAAGAAAATTAGGAAGGAAGGAAGGAAGGAAGGAAGGAAGGAAGGAAGGAAGGAAGGAAGGAAAGATAAAAATGAAAAAGAATAGAGAAAGGACTACACATTGTTACAAAAACAGGAATAAAATGTGAGAGGAAAAAGAAAGAAAGAAAGAAAGAAAGAAAGAAAGAGAGAAAAAGAAAGAACGAAAAAAGGCAAAAATAAATAAAGAAAGAAAGAAACAAACAACGGATAAAAATTTAAAAGAATAAATAGAGAAAGGACGGTACGTTGCTGCAAAAAGGAAGAAAAAATGACTGGAAAAAGCGAGAGAAAGAAATAAAAAGAGAAAGAAAGGTAATTTTGAAAAAAAAAAAGAATGAGCGTGTTGAGAAAGAAGGGAGTGGCGAAGAGAAAGAGGAGGAAAGAAAGAAGTAAAGATGGAAGGAAGGGTAAATTTTTAAAAAGTGTTTAGAAAGCGTGTTGAGAGAGAAAGCAGTGGCGTACAGAAATTACGTAACGAGAGATCGTTGAATATATCTAGCTAACTAAACGAAAACGAATAAAAAAAAAGAAAAGAACAGGCTTAAAAAAGGTATCAATGTCCAAAAGAAAAAAAAAATAACGAGAAAAAATAGAAACAGAAAATAAAGGGACATAAAAAAACGCTAGCAATTACAAAATAAACAAACAAACTTTAATAATATCTTAACTAAAGTTTTGTGGGGGTTCTAGACGCCATTAAAAAAAATTAGAATTTCATCGTCTGCTCACGAAATAAGCTTTTATAGCAGATTTGATATGATACAACTCTTGTCATTTTATATTGAAGGCAAGGAACTTTTTTTAAAGCTTATTTTGTGTATTTTTTCTTTAAATACTGTATATCCATTGTAAAGTAATTTTTACTTTTCTTTTACTGCTGTGGGCATTTATTTATTTACTTTTCTTTTATTTCCTGCAAAATAAAAAATTACATAAAATGGACCAATAAAATTCAGAAAGGGTCGAGGTGCCGTGCACACACTATTTTAAAGAGTGCAGTTGTCGCCTTTACTATCTCTGGAAACCGATCGCATTGTCTTCTGCATCGGCACACATTTACGTTAATAGTATGGGTAATGGATGGCTAAAATGCTGGAAGAATTCCTGAAAGAATTACAGAAAAGAGTGAGGAGTTTAAAGAAGAAGAAGAACGAATGAATGAACGAACGACAGTCACTAGGAAGAGAAGGAGAAGATTCAATCATTCAGATGAGAAATGCTCGTAATTGTCATTTCTTACGAGATCAAAATCTACTTTGAATTACAAAAGCCTAAGGAAATATAATTTTTTTTCTATCTACATTCTCACACCACGCTTTTAATTATTTTTCAATCTACTTTTTAAAGATTTAGTTGCTTCTATTCTGTTTTATTTCTTTTTATTTACTTTTGACAGCACAGGTTTTTTCGTATTTTTAAAAAAATACTTTTTAAAAAATTTCTCCAATTGTTTTTTTTTCATACTTATTTAATGATCCGTTTTTATTTTATTTTTGTTTTCATATAATTTATTAGATTTTTTGGTTATTTTTTTCACATTAAAACCTTTACCCATTTTTTAAATCATTCAGTTAAACTATTTTTTAAAAAGCAATTTTTTTGCGTGTCTTAATTTATTTAAATTTTTCTTAACTTTCAAAAGCCGAAACTTAGTTGTTTTCTTCTAAACATCTCAAGAATAAATTTTTTATTATATATATATATATATATATATATATATATATATATATATATATATATATTGTAAATTTACTAATTTAAAAAATATGGTTCCATCGCTACACTATAGAAAACACTATGGTTTCATAATGGTTTCTTAGAATAATAACCATTACTCTATATTATGCAATAACAGATTTAATGGTAAAAAGTCTAAGGATAAAATAAACAACAAACAAAAATTACGATCACGGCCATAATAAACTGGCCGTCTACATTTTCATATTAGTAACTTACACACGATATTCAACGGAACAACGAAAATTCTTGAAAATGGATAATAGATTAGCCGAAAGGAACAATCATTTGTACAATATTTATGTAAACCATGACCAAAAACTTAATCGCTTCTTCGCACACAAAAACACAATAAAAAATTAATACACCTACCTTTTCAGAAATTTTGAAAGAAACATGCATTAGAGAGGGATTGCTGCCCAAATACACAATTAGGCAATATATATATATATATATATATATATATATATATATATATATATATATATGTGTGTGTGTGTGTGTGTGTTTGTGCGTGTAAGTGAGTGTGTAATTTATATATATATTTATATACATTGTTACATTGTCATCCACAGACTGTTTCGCTGAATCGCAGCTCATCAGTGTGGCTAGACATCTGATTGTCTCAAGCCGGGATCGAAATATGCCCGTTTGTCTATCGATTGCAAGGCCGTGAAACCCATGGTCACAAACTCACATCAATGCAAAAACTATATATATATATATATATATATATATATATATATATATATATATATATATATATATATATACAGACGAATACATACACATACACACACACACACACATATATATATTAATGCATATTTCATTAAATAATATAGAGAAGTTTTGTATATTTTTTTATATATATATATATTCTAAATAACGTAATGAAATTTTATTGGTGTGCCAGATTGAATTTTATGACTTTAAACATTATTTTTAGTGGATACTTGTATTTGAGTCGAGAGCTAGCGGTAGATCCCTCTGTCAAGGGGTTGAGGGGGGTGTCAGATTAGAATTCTGCCAGTGAGCGCATAAATATCTTTAATAAAATTTCATGGATATTCAGGCCGATAGACGAAAATAAATGAATATCTCAAATATGAGTATCTACTAAAAAAAGCCTTCAAAGTGATTATATATATATATATATATATATATATATATATATCTAATGAAGCTAAAATAAATATGAATAATATATATATATCTGATAAAGCTAAAATGAAAGCTAAACATGTTAAATTTATAAACTTTTTCCTATTTGTTGCTTATATTATCATTCTGCTGGATTTCATTGATATTTGTTTCAATTCAAAATATATATATATATATATATATATATATATATATATATATATATATATATTCCAAATTGTAACATATGCATGTTATAACATCACTACAAAAATTTTCTTTCAACACTACTGGTGTCTTAACAAGTGATGGCGTTGATTGCAAAATAAAGGGGGATTTTAAAAGTTCAAAAACCAACCAAACCCCTGATTAAGGAAAACATTGTCACGTAACCTATGATGACCAATCAGACCAATATATATAATATATAGATATTAAGACAGACAGATAGATAGATAGATAGATAGATAGATAGATAGATAGATAGATACTACTCTTTTTAGGAAATGTATTTGCATTGATAAGTCCAGGGAAAAACTACTTTCCCATGGACGAAATGATCATCTGTATGAGGTAAATTGTTTGTATATATTTATATAAAGATGTGGTATTATACACACTATTTACATTATTCGGACTATTGTTCTCATCTTTGTCGCCATATTTGTTACAATGTTTCGACCGTTGTACGCTCCGGGCATCTTCAGTTGATTGGAATGTCGACCGGAACCATTTATTTCGTTCACTGGGGTAGACCGTTCTAGTTCCACGTGCCATGTCTAATGGATGTCAGTTGTCAGTTATCTCCTGGAGAGGGGAATTAACAGGAGATAACTGATACCTGACATCCATTAGACATGGCACGTGGAACTACCCAGTGAGCGAAATATCTCTTAAAATAATTGTCGGCCTTTGTACATTTTATAATGTGTTACGTAATTTGTTTACATTTGGATACACATTGAGCAGATACGAATTTACGTGAGAAACTCATGGAAAATTGTAGTTTAAAAACAGTAAAATCGACCTTGCTAACCGAAACGCTCCTCTGTGGCGAAATCGGTAAAAGCACGTCAGGTTATATGACAGTTCCGTATAGGATACAGGTTCGATTCCTATTCGAGGACGCATATTTCCTATGAAAATTTCTCGAACATTCAGGCCGGTAAATGTTGTTTAAGCCTGTTTATTATAAACAGAACCTTTACTTAAATATGTGTATCTATAAAAAAGAATGTATAAACATAAAAATGTCTTAATATATATATATAAATAAAATCAGTGTGCTACCTAGACAAGGGAAACCTTATATTTAAAGAGAAATCATTTTTGTATGTGGGTAGTTCTTTTTATTGATCAAACTTTTTGTAATTCATTTTTTCCCCTTTAAATGGAAATAGTGGAGTATTTACTGGAATTTCTACCAGGGATTAAAATCTAATTAAATAGAATTTATCTGGCAGGTAGTAAATGAGACACACACACAGAGAGAGAGAGAGAGAGAGAGAGAGAGAGAGAGAGAGAGAGAGAGAGAGAGAGAATCGAAAAGGATAGATAAAAACAGAGTGACTCTTATTTCTGACTTTCTTTCTATTCAGTCCATTTTGTAGATTTGTGTCTACCTGATCTCCAATTTAACAAATCCAAGTGCTTAAAGACGCTTTAGAGAAAATATTATACAAAAAGTAAAAGAAAAAAATATTTCCTTTCTTTACAAATCATTAGATTCGTGTTCATTTGTCATGATGCTGTGTCAAATAGCTTTGATTAGCGTCGCTAATTTACCTATAAAGAGGAATTTTAAATGCCCCCGCTTTGATTATATAAAGTCCATCGGAGATGACGTCATTACCGTCAATGACAAAACCGACCAATAAGAAGACGTTTATTCACCCAGAATGCTA